GAAAGTCGTCAGTTGTTAGCAATAGAAACAGTAGTCAACTAAACGCTTGCAAAAATAACAAATATTAATCAAAGAGATAGAGAGGAAAAATGAGCGCAAATTGTGGTAATGAAGAGAGAAGTACGAAAATAGTTGTGATATTAATGAAATGTTTACATTTGTTTCAATATTGATTTTCCAATATTTAGAATTTTTACTTGTATTCTAAGCAAGGTACCAATACCAATAACTGGGAGGTATTCCCTTATTTTGGTAGGAAACTGTTACCCAATGCAATGAGAACTCAAAATACCAGAATAGAGTCAATGCCCAATATCCAAATTATTTAAACAAACGTCTTAGGTGAATATTTCGATGTTTAATCAAAGCTGGTATTTTACACAGGTGTTTTATTGTCAATTTAAGATATTTTACTGATCTTCTAGAGGTCTTATGCCAGTCATCTATAAATAGACAATTGTCCTTAGGTCTTTTATATACAGAATATCCAATATTAAAACAAATTATATTTCTTATGGGCAGAAGATCCTCTACAGGCCCTCTAAAGGTAGGATACCTTATTAATAGTTTTTGTTATGCATAGAAGAGGTACTATTTTTAAAATATATTTTTTAGGTTCTCATTTCATTCCAAAAATGATCCCATCGTGCATGTGTCTTGTTAATACCAGTTTCATCCTCTTCTGGTTTGCTAGGTTATTTGCAATAAAATAAACAAAAAATAGCTAAAACACTTAACTAAAACCAATTTTTTGGTAAACAACTTACTTACCTACATAAGCAAAGATTCACAAAACGCTCCCCCCTCTCAACAAAAATAAATACATTTAATCGGCAACCACAACTAACGGCCAAAAACCCGAAATCCAACAACGTCGGTGCTTTTTCAACAACACATCTTCCATCTGCACTCTAATCTCAATCACACAGACATTTGTTAGATTCCGCTTCGCTTCACAAAACGGAGACAACATTCCCGGCAAAAGAAGAAGAAAAAAACAACGCTAAAAAGTTTAAATGCAAGTGGCGACTGAAGTGCAACAACAAATTTGTTACATAATATTTGTTTATTTATATATTTTCGTCTTTAGTTATTTTCATTTATTTTTTTCCTCTAAATTTAATTTGTTGTTACTTCTTCATTGGCCGATGTTGGTTAGTTTGGAAGTCATTGGAGGATGTTGACTCTCAACAAACAAGGTTCCACAAAATCAAATGCATTTTGTTTGAATGTTTTTTTTTTTTTTTGAGGTTTTAGTAAATCACAACAAAAAAATTGTTTTTTGTTCCTTTTGAAGAGTTATGTTCATCCGCCTGAAAAGTTTGGTCTTTTGGCTGGTAAGTTCATTTGTTGACTTCAACACTTGTTGTTCGCCATCAATTTGGCATTGATGTTTTTTGGGTTTCCAATACTATTTTTTTGTGGGATTGCTTTATTTGATGCATGTTGGATCTGGGTGGGCGAGTTAGTTAGTACTGGTTATTTGTCATCAGGAAGTCATAAATTATGTAGGAATAACCTATTGAATTGTGTTTTTTTTTTTAGTTTGACTTAAGTGGGAGTGTAAATTGAGGAAAAAGAACTTTAAATGGAAATTCGATTTTCGGAGGGGATTATTTTAGAAATTTATGGGGATTTAATAATAAATAAAAATTGCGAAAAATACTTTTAATTTTTCTTAATAATTTCCATAGTCGATTTTACAACTAATTGAGAGTATTTCCTGATGGGGAGACTTTTGGTATAATGAGAAGTGGCTAACGTGTGAGTCCATGTGATTAACAATATTCATAGGTATCAAATGATATTCATATAAGTTTAATGGGTAGGTTTAAACCGATACAACAATCGTGTCTCCTATGTGAAAATTCAGTTTAAAAATTTAGCGGTCCGGATCTGTATCCGGCGAATATAATTTTATTAATGTGTTTTATCTTTTATAATGTACAATTTATTCGAAATTTATTAGTGCACGTATATATAAGATCAATATACAATACATTGGACATTTTGAGCACGTTTTTAACCAATATTATTAATGTATCACATATATTCATACCCATAATATATAAATTAACGATTTCCATCTATATTGATCAAATTTACTACATACAAAATCGCTTTGAATGCAAAGTTATTATAATCATGAGAGATGCTAGTTTTTTCAAAAATGTAAACTTTTCATTAATATCAGTACTATGTTCCTACTTCGGTCTATTTTATCACTATTTGCGCGCATTTTTCTCTTGTGCTCATCTTTCCCTCTCTCTTTGACAAATGTATTCCTTCTAAAAAAAACACAACCACCATTAATTGTTCGGCTATGTTTTGTTTTGGTATCGTTCACAACCTCTCCCCTTACTTTGTGTTTGTTGTCTTTGCAACAGTTTATTTGACTACTGTTTCTGTGGTTAACAACCGCTCACTCGATTGTGACTAGTTCCACATTCCATTGTTTCTTTATTTTAGACACTCTTACTGACCTCTGCATTGCTGTTACAAAATTCGCATATGAATTTCCAAATTATTTCGATATCAAACAAGTGTTAGTTTGATATATTGTATTTATCATATATACAACAAGTGTTGATACGAACACTCCAAAGTTGTTTTTTCATTTTCGCTGACAAGAAACCAAAGTTCTATGTATTGCATTCATAAAATGCAGAAATTCCGCCATTACGAATTATTTTTTCTGTGTATAAACACATTGGAGTCCTTCTATGACCCCTCTGGCGTATCCAGAACTAATTATTGTCATCGGAACGTTAGACTTTTTGCAAGCATTAACGTACTCAGTACTATTTAAAATAGGGCCATGTTTTGTGTTGTTTACAATGCATTGAAAAAAATCTATTTGCCAACAAAACATTTGTCATTACGATCGCAACAAGAGTGAATCGATGAACATAAATCGTTGTACGACAAAGAAGCTCTATTTTGTAGCACTGTGAAAATCCCATCTAATGAATTCAATTATGGCCGGCACTTGCTCAGAGACAAAGGTCGTAAAGATCGTTCGAAGACGTCCATTGTGCCGTAGTTTGTAACGCGACATATTGGTCCTAGACCCATTTTAGTATACCGTCATATCTGTCTAGTATAATTTGTTAACACGCTACGATGCATCAATCGTCACAAAGTAGCATGTAGATTCAGTTCTAGTCAATGTTTCAGTAATGATCGGTTAATATTTAGGGGCTGAAAATTACCAAAAACTTAATTTTGTTTGTTTTTCTGGTCGCTCTTTAGGCCATAATTGTGACCCAAAAACCACGAAATTTTGCACAAGAAATGGAATCTGACTAAAAATAATAACCATGACTGTTTTCATGAAGATCGGTCAATATATAGCGGTTCAAATGGACGAAGACATTTATGCGAAAAAATCACCAAAAAATTGCGTTCTGTGGTGTAGAAGATGAACATAGACCAAACATATTGGTATTATACATGAGAGGAGTGATTGAACTTTAAATTGATTCCAATTATAGTGATGTAAATATTTCCAGGGTCAAACTATTATTACCTCATTAAAAGGCGTACATTTCGTGCTGACCGTTTTAAAACGTTGAAGAGTGCGTAGAGAGCTTTTTTATGATCTAGAATAAATCGAATCGATGGAGATCATCCCTATTTTCCAGCATGGTTTATGGTCGAAAATAGGGTATTTTCCAAAAATCCAACCATTTTGTTAATGTGTGTGCGATGTTCATAATAGAGTCAGAAAGGTACTTTTTCGAATGCCGTTGAAAGCATGCTGGGCATGCTGGGCAAAAGACGGAATTTTAAGTATGTCAATTAATGTTGTTGTTCTTTGAGTCTTCAAGTACCTATGCACGCCCATTTGCCATCCGGTTGAAAATCATAAAAATTTAAATTTGAGAAAGGGGGTCCCTTTAAAGGAATATCCTTAATGAAATCAAAAGAATAGCGATTATTCAAAGAATATAACGTAAAATTTTTTTAGAGTCTTTGAATTATCCGACTCAAGTCAATATTTTACTATCCTCCCCTCGTATGGTTTTCATAATATACCATATAGTATTCCAATTTTTACAAAGAAGTTCACTTTACCATTCCATTGTCACGTGCTATAGCTTTTGACTTTAGTTAACTGGATTTGAAAATCGATACAATAAATGGAGGATTGTAATTTTTGGTTCGAAAATTGAAAAGAAGACTGTCGCTTCAGCAAACAATTTAAACGTGACATTAATACTCTTCGTCTTTTTCATAAATGTCTCATTAATGCAGACATGAGCACAACGGCTTGATATTTAGTTCATGTCTCATTTATTGACAAAAAATGAAAATATAGGTAACAAGATGATGTTAAGGCAACACTGTTTAATTTTTGAAGGAATAAAAACAACAAAATACACAGTGGAGGAATTTTGATTAAAAGTTAATTAAATAATTTTGGACTTATTTTTTTCAATACTTGCTAAAATCATTTGGGTATTAGATGTGGGAGCTGGTTTTCTACAGCTAAACTAATTTGAATACATCAATCATTTAAAATTGCATCATACGTATATGTTTAGGGGTATTTTATTCAAACAAGTGTATGCCTTGCAGCTTACATAACACATATGTTAACTACAACAACAAAATCACTATTATCAATTAATATTGAACACCAAAAACAACTAAACAAAAAAAGTTATTCCAAAAAATAATTGTATCGAAATTACACCTTTGAACACAGCTTGATTGCATTCATTTTGGTTTTCTGTGGAGGCCTAAAACAAGAATTTCTGCCGAAACTTTCAAAAAAGTCAAAAACAATTTTCGTTATTAGCACTAAGTACAAAATCATTTGTGGTGGGTTGGCAAAAATTTCTTGTTGAAACATTTTTCGGATTAAATAACTTTTCAATGAACGTAAACTATTAAATTTGGTTTTTTATATGTTTGCCATGTACCCAATTTAAAAACGATTAATATAACATCATAATCACCACATGATAGCAAATATATTTTTCTGCACTACTTACGTTCTGGCCAATTGTATGGAAATATCCAATAAGAGTTCACCAACGGTGGCAATATCTTCAGCCTTCCAATCACCTTTGGGCTGGGAAACATCTGCAAGAGATAAGAAATTGAAACAAAGATTAATTAATCGTTTGTGATTAATGATAAATTGATATAATTTTGAGTATGTGGGAAAGTCAATTCAAAAGATCAATGTACCTTAATGTAATGGGAAGAAATTAATTTGAAAGAAATCTCAAAATTTCGGAAACTAAAATTCTGGAAAAATTTACATTTTATTTCTATATCAATAAGTTATATATGCTGATAATAGTAAAATTTATTATACTTCAAAATAAGAAAGTTCGACAACTACTCAAGTAAATGTTACATAGGGGAGACTGTTGCTCATTCGGCCCTTTTTGTTTAGAGCTCTATATCTCAGTAATTATTCAACATATATAAAAACTTTACGGCTGATTTTTGTCCTCTGATACTTAATTAAAAAACTAGTACCTAAAACATATAAACAATTAGTATTATTTAAACATTTTTACAGTTTTGTAAAAAAAGTCAAGATCTGCTCCAACCCGGCATTTAATGGGACACATTCGGCACCATAGTCATAGCCTGGTAATTATCATCGCTATTAGTCTGATTGAAATTCAGACCCTCTAAAGGCTCTATTTGGTTTTAATACGCGACACAATGTTTGGATTTTAGGGCTATATTTTCTAGCGGCGGACGTTGACATCTCAAGGTAGCACACTCCATCAGAAATAGGTTTTTCTGTCCCATTTTCGTCAATACAAGCATATTTGGTCTTATATATGTAATTTCGAACCTTATTAAAGGATTATTTTTAAAGACAAACTCAAAAACATTTTAAGGAATTAATATTGCACTATCTGTCTATGTGACTCACTTTAAGTGCCGAAAATGCGATTGCCGTTTGTGCCCCAGTCTCCTCTACTAAAAACTGAACATAACTTGCTCCAAATACGCATTCAAATTATTAAAATTTACACAAAAATTTTTCAAATTAGAATTAGCAGCTACTCCTTTCTATTTGTTGTAAGGGTAGTGTATTTCTTTGTACGGATTCTGAGTTTCACAATTAAAGGAAAATCTGAAGATACAAACGTTTTTGTTATGTTTATGTTTGCAATAGTAAATCTTCTACACATTTATGTAGAATTTCCTTTGGGTTCTGTTATAGTAGCTACTCCTTGCCACTTATTGTAAGGGGAGTGTATTTCTTTGTAGGGGACACTGACATTTTTACGATTTTCACAAGAAAGAAACAAATCCGCAAGATATAATGGGAATCTCATGATTGCTATAGGAAACTAATAAACTGTAATATATTTATGCAGAATTCCTCCTTGGGTTCTGTTATAGTAGCTACTCCTTCCCATTTATTTGAAGGTAAGAAGTGTATTTCTGTGTAAAAGAATGCTGATATTTTTATGATTTTTGCAATTGAACTATCGGAAGATCCAAACGGGTATGCCATTTTGCGGCAGGAAATTATTAACCCAAAAACAAAAAAAAAGATTATGTAGAATCCCTTTTTGGGTCCTGTTATGGTTTCTCCTTCCCTAATGAATTTAATGGAAAAGTGACATTTTATTGCCGACCTATTCATGACTGGTGTTCAGATGCTGGTAAGGATAATGCACCAGCTGATTAGTACAATTTGGCTAGAGGAGTGCATGCCCAATAATTGGAACCTCAGCATCCTGGCCCGTGCACAGAAAAAGGAGACAAGACGATATATGCCAACTATAGAGAAATACCTCTCCTTGTCTTCGTATATAAAGTGCTATCCAGCGTACTGTGTGAATGACTGAAACCAATGGACAATGACATTATTATACCATACCAATGTGACTTCAAACAAATCCACCATTGATCAGATTTTCACTCTGCGAATCCTGGAAAAGACCCACGAAAACACATCGACATATTCCCCCTATTCGTCGACTAAAAAGCTGCATTTGACAGCTACATCTGTTCAGAGGTATTTAAAGGACCTCTCGGAGCCCTTCGGTACCGAACGAGGATTCAGACAAGGTGACAGTTTGTCGTGTGACCTGTTTAACATCCAGCTGGAAAAGGTCATACTAGAGGCACAAGTGAACAGACATCTCTCCCTGTACACCAAACAACACATATTACTCGCATACACCGATGATCGATATAATGGGTCGAACATTGTGAGCGGTAATAGACCTTTGAACAAATTTAGAAGAAGTCTACCAAAGTGGGTCTGACAGTAAACGCCGAGAAGGTCAAACTGACGTCCAGTAGACTGGGACCAACTGTGGAACTTGAGAAGTACAGTTTCGAGGTATTTAAATATTTTTATATTAAAGATTTTATATATTGGTACCGCCATAAATAATACCACCTCTCGCCAGACCAAAACTCACACTCTACATGACGCTGATACTACCCATGCTATTATATATATCTGAAGCAGCTCTTGTTTGAGAGAAAAATTCTCCGAAAGATCTATGAACCGATCTGCGTTGACGGGGAATATCGCCGTCGAATGAACCATGTCAGACATTTCAAGCTGGATGAAGATGGCCAGCTCAAATGGTATATAAAAACGAACTAGCTGATGGTTCATGCATAAGGAGAAGGCCACGAATTATATGGAAAGATCAAGTGGAAGACAACATTGCCGAACATGGTCTTTCAAATTGGAATAACTGCACAAAAGACCGACGAGCCAGGAAATCTTTTTTTTATGCTCGGCTTATGGAACAACCGTTATGTGGATGATGATGGTTCTGTAAAATGTCTTTTATCTGAGGAATATGAATATATCCCCCACAAAATCAACAGCCACACTGTTCACCACATTGACGGCTGAAATGAAGCTTCCGCTGAACATAATGGTCGATGGAAAATTGATTCCAACTACAATCTATACTGGGTTTAACGTTCGCATCTAGTCGTCTGCGCAACCCACTGCTTTATGTGATAAAGTGATATGTGGGAACTATGTCCTCAAGTCTCTAGCCTGAAGCACATGGGGCGCTGACAAAGAAAGCCTGTTGACTTCTTAGAAAACAATAGTAGTCTATGCGGCACCAATGTGGTTTGCGAATGTAAGAGATACGCAGTGGAAGAATATCCAGACCTGCTATAATGCGTTCCTGAGAACCATGTTCTACACCATAGTATGGAGGGTATATGAATTTTGTTTTTCCGTTTGTAACTCATGGAAATAATCATTTCCGACCCAATAATGTATATAATCTTGATCAGCGTAAAATTCTATGACGACTTAGCCATGTTCGTCTGTCTGTTGTAATCACTCTAGCGTCTAAACGAATATTTTTTTTGCACATAGTTGTCTTTGGTCTGCAGGCAGGTCATGGTCTCTATCGGTCCACCTTTAGGCACAGCTCCCATATAAGGGTGCTCCCCAATTCTCGGTATTTTGGGGTTCTTGATATCGTGATAAAAAACTCAAACCTGATGATGATGAAATATATCGGCCAGCATTAGGCATCTCCCCCATATTATGATACCTCCTGAAGGAAAGTAGTAAGATACAAAACTAAAATATTGGGTTCGAATTTGAGCTATATCACATTTTTCACTTGTTCCTATACGCTTTTTATTTATTTTGTTTTAATTTCTTTGGTATTTATTGTTTATATTTCAAGCCACATGCAATTAAAATGTTTTATTTTCTTTAAGAGTTTTACAATTCTTGTTATAAAAATTGAATATTTTCTTTAAACAAAAATAATGTTTACTTACGTATTCTCTTGCGAGCATCCAAATAAGCAGCATTTACAGCATCATATGTTATACAAGTTGAGTCGCCATTTCCATAAGGATTTCTAAAAAGAGAAGAACATAAAACAAAAAATTAGAAAATCGATTACAATACATTTTATTAGGTTATTGTTTCATTTAACAGCAGTAAATACTTCTATTTCTTTTATCACATGTGACCAGACTCCTCCCGCCCCCAAACACCAACTTCAGACACAGTCTATCAACACCCACGCACATTTCACTTTCGCTTGCAATCAATTTGCCGCCTAACGACATAAGGATCAGATAAACGCATTATTAACAATAGAAAGGATTTCAAGTGAATAAAATGGCAATGGTGGTGGTTGCGGTGTTGGCGATGGTGGTCTATACATAAAAATCCTTTAAGCTCCGTGCAATATGCTATACGGTGTTAGTCTTGTTTTGTATTTCTTTGAGAACTGTTGTGAAGTAGCAGTTTATTTGTGATTTTTTGTTATGGAGTGTGCTCGGAAAAAATTGGAAGATATTGTGGCCAAATGTCATACGGAAAATATTGATATTTTGAAAATCGAAAGTATTAATAAATTTTTGCTGGAAAATAAAAAATCATCGAGTCGAAAGGAAAAATGGCTGAAATTTTTGTTTGTGACAAGTTTGCTGACTTATGCCGTTAATTATTATTTTACTGAGCTGCAATCGAAGGTGAGTAAATTTTGATTAAATGTGGAATTATTGAAAATAAGGACTTTAAATGGACTACCTTATAATCGCCCTAAATTTCGATAATTTTGTATGCTACCTAAAAACATTATATTAAAACTTTTCCACTTACAAAAAACATCTGAAACCAATAAATCCTAAGGGATTCGAAATAGCATATGCTCAACTCTGTTATAAACTGAGAAGTGTTCTCCCTTTAGAAGACGATCAGCAGCCACTCTTTGAGAAGACATTCTGAGAAAAATGCCCAATCTTATGAAAGAAGACCTTTTGGTCGCCTATAAGACGTCCTTTGGTTTTATATAATACGACCTTTTGGTCTTCTTAAAGAAAATATTAAGATTATTAGTCAAGGAGAACACCCTCTGGCCTTCCATGAAAAGACCTGCAGCCAGTACTTGAGAAGAAATTTTAGAAGTATATAAAAAAATCTTCTGGCTGTCTATGGGAAAGCATTCTGAGAACTGTTCTAGCTTTCTACAGTATGTTCCAATAAGAGGTGTAATTTTGATGCAGGGGGCAGGGCTTCTGGTGTAGACCTTAGCTTCACTTGGCTCCAAAGGAAGAAGTCGCAATATCTTGGCGGCCAATTGTGATCACTAATTGGAGAGAAAAATAGTCCAGAACCTTTCCCCGTAAAAGAGCAATAGTTTGTTTGCCAGTGTGGCACTTAGCTCCGTCCAATCCATTCACTGTAATTGTTGATTTAATCTGATTATCGATAATGTCAAGTAAATTATCCCGCACGAGCCCCAGATTCTACATTTTTGCTTCATCATCGACGTGATATGGCCTTCGTCAATCAAGATGATTTTTTCGTCGAGACTGAAGAGTTTTCGACTTTGAGATGGAAATGGGCTTCGTCAGTCAAGATATATTTTTTGATGGAATTTCGTATCAATTTCATGGATTTCAAAGAAACAGTCAGCAAAAACACGACGTTGGTGGTGATCGGCAGGCTGAAGTTTTTCTGTTAACTGAAATTCATAAGACATCAGTCCATATGCCAAGTAAGCTATAATAACGTTTGTCGAATGCATCCAAAGAATGAAGAGAAATGAATAAACCTAGGCTTTTTCTAAGGACAGACGACATATTACTTTTATAGATCTTCTGACGAGAGGCATACAAGGTATTTTATAGGTACATGTCTTTGTACTACATATGAGAATAAATACCTTCTACATGTCTTTTACAGAACGATTTACAGATCTTCTATGAACAGAAGACCTACCAAAGGTCTTTAATAGACAGACGAACTTCTCCATGACTTCTCTACACAGAAGACCTCGAACAGGCCTTCTATAGTATTATAGAGACAGATGAACCTCTGAACAGAAGATATATCACTGCCCTCCAAATTCTAAAGGACTTCTATAGACAGAATACTTTAACCAGGTATCATAGAGGCAGATGAACCTCTGAAAAGATCCCATAGACAGCCGCGCCTTTTCCTAGACATAAAACCTCGTACAGGTCATCTATAGATATAAGGCATACCACAGGCCTTTTCTACATAGACGAATTCCAATAGGTCCGCTAAAGACAGAAGGCTGTTTTTTGATCTTCTATAGACAGAATATATTCTACGAGTTTTCAAAAGACAAAAGATATTCTATAGACAGAGGAATACTCGTCACACGTCATCTACAGATAGACGAAATTTTCCAGGTCTTCCCTAGACAAAGGACCTCCTACAGGTATGTAAAAGACAGAATATGTTGTACGGGTCTTCTATAGACCGAAGAAGTAACAAAGGTCGTTTATGGACCAAGGTCCTCTGACAGGCCTTCTAAAGACAGGCGATGTCCTATAGGTATTTTCTGGACAGAATAATGCCTATAGGTCCGCAAGAGACAGAAGACCTTCTACAGATCTGTAGAGAGAGATAGACTATATAAAGATTCTCTAGAGACAGTATAAATTTTACGAGTCTTCCAAAGACAGTAAACTTTCTACAGATATTCTATGGGCAGAATACCTATCACACGTCTTCTATAGACAGACGAAATTCTTCAGGCCTTCTCCAGGCAAAGAACCTCATATTGTCAAATTCGACTCATATACTCCAACTCCGACTTACTTCGCAATCAGAACTCTTAATTACCCAATATTTGTAACAAAATTAGAGATGCCACATGGATAAATTTCAGAAATCGAACTTTATTTACTTTTGAGTTCCTCAAAATATTTCCAGCGATGTACCTTTCAAATGCCAACCCTAATGCGTTACGCCTTTCGTCCCCCTGAAAGTTGTACCTTCTGTGAAAATGTGGATAAAATGGAGAGGGTCTCCAATATAACACCACTGGAATTTGAAAAGAAATATGCATATTCTGCCAGACCAGTAATAGTGGAGGACGCCACCAAAAATTGGACAGCATTGGAGGTATGTAAGGAGAAGGTGTTTACACTTTTTTTATTAAATTTACATTGTATGTGTTCCAGAAATTCAACTACTGGTATTTCCACGATGTCTACAATAATGCTCAACGCAAAGAAAAAATATTGGATTGCCAATTTTTGCCATACAAAACGGGATTTCGTGATATTTTCGAAGCTCTAGATATGCCGGAGAGTAGAGTGGAATATTTCCAAAGCAACGATGTTCAAGGTGATGTACAAAAACCATGGTATTTTGGTTGGAGTAATTGTAACCCCGAGACGGCAGAAGAATTTCGGCGACACTATGGAAGACCGTACTTTTTACCAGAGACCTCTGAAAATAATAATGTGGATTGGTTTTTTATTGGACCAGCCGGGCTGGGAGCACATATGCATGTAGGAAAACTATAAAAACCCCAAAAGTTATAATAATTTATAATTCTTGAATTCTTCCTTACAGATCGACAATGTCCGTTTACCTTCGTGGCAGGCCCAACTCTCTGGCAGCAAACGTTGGCTTTTGGCACCACCACCTGAATGTTACTTCAAATGCAAATCCTTTGATGCCATTGTCAATAAAGGCGATATAAGTAGGTTTTCGATTTTTTTACTTCTGTATTCAATTTGAATATTTTTTTCTAAATTTTTAATTTTATTTTTCTTATTTTACATTCTAGTTGTTTTGGATACAAACAAATGGTATCATCAGACATTTGTGCAACCAGGTGAAATAAGTCTCACAATAGGTGCGGAATATGATTAAATTTAAAATTTGCTTTCAAACTTAAAACACGATTTATAATAAAACTAACAACAACACCGTGTACTTTTATTCTTTTTATTTTTGTATAGAAAAGGAGAGGAAAACATTTCTGCATGTTGGCGATCTTTGACCCCAGAATATGTTTTTCGTCGTTGTTTTAATAAAAAGGAGCGGTTTACTTCAAATTCATTTAGTAAAAAGGAATTTGAGAGCGCTTAGATTTTTATACCCTACACAACTATGTTGTCAGGGTATTATAGCTTTGTGCAGCCCCAAATGTTTGTAACGCCGCGAAATATTGGTCCTAGACCCACCTTTAAGTATACCGATCGTCATATCTCGACTAGCTGAGTCGATCTAGACATGTGTGTCCGTCCGTCCGTCCGTCCGTCCGTCCGTCTGTCCATTATAATTTGTAAACACGATACAGGCCACAGTTATGGACCAATCTTCACGAAATTTTGCATGTAGGATGGGTTCTGGCCAATGAAGACCCCTATTGTTTTTGGAAAAGATCGGTTAATATTTAGGGGATGAAATGGACCAAATACTAAACTTTTGTCGGTTTTTCTTGTCCCTCCAGAGGCCGCAATTATGGCCCAAACACCGCGAATTTTTGCATGGAGAAGGGGATCGGGCCAGAGAATAAGCATGCATGTTTTGATAAAGATCGGTCAATATTTAGCGGGTCAAATGGACCCTGACTTTTGTGTGAAAAATGACAAAATTTGTATTCTATGGCATATATATTTACTCCTGGAGGATGTAGACCCCAGGAGTTGATAGCATATCCAGGAGGAGTGGTTGGCCTTTAAATTGATACCAAATATAGTGATGTATCTACTCAGATGTGGGAGTTACAGTCAAATATTTACAGGTGCTTACGTATTCAGATATTATTTAGTAACCCATTACCACATTAGAGGGAGAAATATCGCGCTGATGGCTTTGAAATTGTTCATGAAGTTCCAGTTATGGTCAAGAACAACGCCTATAATTTTCGGTGATGATCAGATTAAAATTTTGGGATGAAATGGACGGAGAACATAATTTTTTGTGTGTTTTCGAGTAGAGTATAATCCGAAAATCACAACTCAACCCACCGTGAAGGTAATCTGGACAATTAATTAGAAGGACAGTACTGAATATTCGAAAAAAGTAAGGAAGAGGTGTTGTTAACCTCTAATCGGACAAGAGGGGGAAAATATCACGAAATATTACTCAGACTCGGAATAAACATCCTCAGAAAGTTAGAGTTCGTGGTAGTTGTGTAGGGTATCGTATGGTCGGCCCCGTCCGACTATACTGCTCCGCTCACTGGTTTTGTATTATTTTAATAATCATAAAAACCAAAATTCTGGATTTCGAACATTTGATGAATCTTGCAAAAGTCTTTTATTGATGAAAATCAGATTGTATTTTACAG